AAGCTTAACAATGTCTCTGTGGCCGTTCAGAGCAGCTAGATGCAACGGTGTACAACCGTTATCAGTTTTTACATTAACCTCAGCTTCTTTGTCTATTAGAAGATCAATAATGTTTTTGTGGCCTTCCAGAGCAGCTGCATACATTATTATTAGTTTTGGGATTAATTTTTGCTCTTTTTTCTATTAAAAGTTCAGAAATTTCTTTATGACCACTTTTTGTTGCACAATATAATGGTGTAATGTTATTTCGATCTTTAGCACAAATATCAACACTTTCACTTGTACTTAATTCCCGATAATTTAGAATTATTCATGTATAATAGATATAAGAATGATCAAGAGTCAAATATTATAAATCTTGTCTTTTCCATAAATATAGTTAATGATAGTTAACGATAATCTACATTAAATACTAACATCGATCCTTACTAACGGCTTGGCAACAAGCATGTTAGGAAATCCTATTAATGTTTAATATCTGAGATCATATAATACATATTTATACAATTACCTACTCTTAATCATTCTTATAAAGATAAAAAAAAATTATTTAACAATGAGCAGTTATTTTTCATTAATATAAAACAATTATGTATTCTCATTTATACTTTATGTATTCTCATTTATACTTTATATTAAAAATTGTCAATTATAAAATAGAAATATATTTATGTATTAATATCTCTAGTAAATATAAAATCGAAATATATATATATATATATATACCTTTCGTATTTTTATTTTGATAACTGCTCGTTGCAAATAATATACAAGACGATCATAAATAAAAAACTTTGCAGTAATTTTGTTGCGGACATAGTAATGGACACTTACCGTTCGCTCTCATCGGCAGCTTGCGATGCCTCCGTCAATTTGGCAGTGGCAGTGGCAAGGCGCTCCTCGGATCTCTTGAGGTCTTCCTTCAGGAGTTGAATACGACGATTCAAGGCGGCGACTTCGGACTCAGCCTGTAGCACAAGAAAAATTCATTCCAAATAAAATAAAAACTGAAAAATTGGCAATTTTTAATCTTACATGGTCTTAGTAAAACCATATTGGTAATAAATAACGTGAGAGAATGAAGAAACTACCGCAAGATAAACATTGCGTAGAGAATAGTCAAATAAGAGTAAAAGCAGATAATTAAATTTAAAAAAGGAACAAATCGAGATCTAAATGTATACATATATTTAAAAAACTTAATTAAATTAGAATTAAAGAGCCTGAAAAAACACGCACTATAACAGTCAATAATTCGACAATATACTAAACGCTGTTTTATATATATAATTTAGTCACCCCTAAATTATTAAATAAATAATATAATTTTTTATTATATGTGTAAAAAAACAGTAGCTTGCTAAGACAATGAGACGATTTAACGAAATTATGCGAAGTAATGTAAGATCAAATGGCTGATCTGCTGTTACTGTCTAAAGTCTAAAGCTTAACTAGTCTAAAGCTACCGTTATTAGTTATTGTATTAATCTTGATTTTTTTATTAGAAGATCAACAATGTCTATGTGGCCGTTCAGAGCAGCTAGATGCAATGGTGTACGACTGTCATTAGTTATTGCATCAACCTTATTGCTTCCTCATAAAGGAAGCTTTGTTTTCGTAAATTTTGTATATGAACCTTCGATCGCGTATAAAGTTGGGTCTAATCAACCAAATTTAAAAAAATTATATATGAAATAGAGGTAGAAGAAACTAAAGAAAAAATTGTTTTTTTGAGTTTTTGATGCTAATATGTTCAGAGTGTTCTAAAACGTCAAAATCTATTTTTATAAAATTTTGAGTTTTTTGAGGATCGGTGTAGGGATTACCGATTTCTGCTTAAAAAGTGTATAAGATGTACATGTAATTTTATATAGAGCATTATTAAAAGAAGGTTGTTTTGAATTTTGCTTTCATATATAATTCTTTAAGATTTGGTTGATCAGTTCTTGAGTTAAAGATATTTAAAATTTTGAAAAATTTAATATAAAGAAAGAACCTTACCGATATATTATCGCCAAATTCAGTACCAACCTTTTTTTAGTGACACTCTATATAAAATTACATGTATAACTAATCCATGTAACTTTTTAAGCAAAAATCGCGGCGGTAACTCCTTCACCGATCCTCGCCAAATTTAATATCTTTCTTAAATGATACTTTAACCATCAAATAACTTACACATTTTTTAAGCAGAAATTGTTACATATTTTTTAAGCAGAAATCTTTCTCCCTTCACCTCGCAAAATTCAAAACAACCTTCTTTTAATAATACTCTATATAAAATTTAATGTATATCTTATACACTTTTTAAGCAGAAATCGGTAATCCCTTCACCGATCCTTGCCAAATTAAATAACAATCTTCTTTTAATGATACTCTGTCCATCAAATAACTTAGGATAGATTGAGGCGAATCGGATCAATATAAGTTTTAAGACAATTTTCGTTAGTGTTTTATTTCAAACGAGTTATTTTATTGTGCTAATTAGTAATCCGATTTGCCTCGGTCTACCCTATACATTTTTTAGGCAGAAATCGGTAACCCTTTTACTAATGTTCGCCAAATTTAAAACAACCTCTTTTTAATGATACCTTATATATAAGATTACATGTATGGCTTGTACACTTTTTAAGCAAAAATTGATAATCCTTTTACCGATCATTGCCAAATTCAACACCAATCCTTTAATGATACTTTATCCATAAAAAAAGTGTGCAAGTAGAAACTTGCACATTGCTCCCTCATAGTTTTTAAGTGTGCAAGTAGAAACTTGCACATTGCTTCCTTATAGTTTTTAAATGTGCAAGTAGAAACTTGTACATTGCTTCCTCCTAATTTTTAAGTGTGCAAGTGAAAACTTGTACATTGCTTTCTCATAGTTTTTAAGTGAGCAAAAGAAAAACTTGCACATTGCTTCCTTATAGTTTTTAAGTGCAAGTAGAAACCTGCACATTGCTTCCTCTATGAGAAAGCCAAATTAATAAATATCTACTAATAATTATGCATAAAAAAACAGTAGGCTTCCTCATAGAAGAAGCAATGTGCAGGTTTCTACTTGCACACTTTTTTTACTTTCTATTAAGGGGATCCTAAAGTGAAGGCTGAACTTCCTCGACGTCGATAATGTCAACATTTCTAATTCTGTTTTCTTGTCATATATCTATATCTGTCCTTGTCTAACGAGAGGCATCTGTCTTTGTTCGATTACTGCGCCATCTTTTGCCACACGCAATATTGCTTATCCTGTCAACCTGAATGTGCTTTTGCACATATAAAAGTTATATAAAGTAATCTTTTTTTCTAGGTTTTCAATCTTAGATCTAATTGCACGATATTGTTCTTAAATGTTGTCCCTAGGTTATGCCGGTCTAATTTTGTGGATATTTATCGTGAAATTTTTGTACAAAGCAAATATTGTCGTCACGTATACCAAAAATTAACAAAAATATTAATTTTTTTTCGTTTTTGATATAAATTTGACCACCATGACCTAGATTTTGATGCGTACTTTAATTCTAAACAAGAATTTTGCATTTCTATAAAGTCAATTAAAAAATTAGTGCTAAGAAAAAAAGCCGGTATTACAGACGGCTTTAGGATCCCCTTAAAAGATTAACAATGTCTTTGTGGCCGTTCAGAGCAGCTAGATGCAACGGTGTACTACCGTCATTAGTTATTGCATCAACCTTAGCTTTTTTACTTTTTATTACAAGATTAACAATGTCTTTGTGGCCGTCCAGAGCAGCTAGATGCAACGGTGTACTATCGATATCAGTTATTGCATCAACCTCAGCTTTATTTTCTATTAGAAGATTCTTCGTGACCGTTCAGAGCAGTTACATGTAGTGGTGTTAAATTATTATTAGTTTTTGCATTAGTATCTGCTTTTTTCTATTAAAAGTTCAGAAATTTTCTTATGACCACTTTCTGCTACACAGTATAATGGTGTAGCGTTATTTTGAGCTTTAGCATGAATGTCAACATCATAAGTTAAGTAGAGCAACAACTATTCCTAGATGACCATTTTGGGCAGCAAGATGCAACGGAGTCATACTTGCAACATTGCGGCAATATTAAAGTTGGCGTTACGTTGCAGTAGAGTTTTAACTATTTTTTCGTGCCCATTTTTTGCTGCATAGTGCAAAGGTGTAAAACCACTTATGCTTCTAGCGTTAACATCAGCTCTGTTTCGGATTAAAGCACATACTACTTCTAAATGGCCATTTAATGCGGCTAAATGTAACGGTGTGCAATCTTCATCATCTCTAACGTTTACATCTGCATTATTTTGAAGAAAGAAATTAACTAACTCTAGATGACCTCTGCTTGCAGATAGGTGCAACGGGGTAAGGTACCAATCTATAGTTTCATTAATATCAACGTTTACATATAGAATCTTAGCAATATCAATATGATTATTTACTATTGCATGGTGTAAAGGTGAAAAACCAATTTCATCTTGAGCAATAATATTAGCTTTATTTTTTAATAAAACTTCAACAATATCCTTGTGACCTTTTTGAGCAGCGACATGTAGTGGCGTTTTGCGACTATTATCTAAATCATCAACATGTGAACCTGCTTTTAAAAAAAATTCTACAATATTTTTTCTTCCGTACGCAGTAGCAATATGCAATGGGCTTTGACCATTAATATTTTTCACATTAACGCTTAAATTTTGATCGAGAATAAATTTTATAACTTTAAGACTGGATCCTTTAGCAGCAAAATGTAACGTGGTCCATGAATTAATATTTGGCATTCTAGCATTAATATCTGCACCTTTTTCGAGACAATCCTTGAAGTTGTTTGGCTTTCCTTCTTTCAAAGCAGCAAATATTTTTTCCTGATTAGTAATGGTGTCTAAGACTTGATTGTATTTCTCAGTTAACTTGAAAGAATTATTGCTTACTAACTTGCCAATTTTTTTTTGCTTTCCATTATATTTTCTTCAGTAAATTTTTTAGCGTTCAAAATAACTGCTATTGAAGGATCAGTTAACAGTACATTAGCTAAGGCATTATCATGTGCTAAATGATTACGTAAACATTTTCCAATTAATAAAGGAGCGTTATCGTCTAAAAAAAGTAGATTATTTTCCAAGTGCTTTGAGCTACTTAAAATTGACATTATATCCAGAACAAGCATTTCTACTACTGCTTGCAATTTTTTATCACGCTTATACAAAGGAAATTTTTCAATTAATTGGCCACTTAATGCGTTATGGCTTAAAATATTTTCCAGTTCAGATATCTTTAGTGCAAACTGGATATTATATTTTTCTACATTTTCTACATTTTCTACATTAGATGTTTTTCTTTGTTTATGTGTAGGAATAAACGAACCTTTTTCATTCAACTTTTCCCAGAATTTCTTAATCCATTTAATGTTACTTGTTCCAAATTCAGAAATATAAACGAGAATTTCGTAAATTAATGCGTTTAATTTATCAAGATTGTCATGTTGTATTCTTGATTTTACACTATAAAAAATTTTCATTGGCAACTCAGCAATTTCTTCATGACTATGAGGCTTTATTTTTAGAGTCATTTTTTCTAATGCTTTATTAGCAATAAATTTCATTTTATTAATAACGTTGCGGTTATTCTTACGTGTGTCACTCAGGCTAATTAAGTGTCTTAATAATAGAAATTCTCTGATGTAATTAGTTTTGATATTTTCTGATTGAGTTTCTGCACAATTAATTATTTTATTAATTTTATTAAACAGCTCTTTTTCATAATCCGTCTTGTCAGTTATATTATCGCTTAATTCTTCAATGAGTTTCTCCAACTTCTCGTGTTCCATCATTTTAAAATCTGTCGATATCATTTCATCCAATTTAACATTACTAAATATTTTAGCAATTTCTTTCATCTCACCTAAGCTTTGACTATTCTTTTTAGCTTCAGCAATTCTTTTTAGCAGCATTCTGATTGTTTTTCTTTTTTTATTGAAAAGAAAATCAGTAATTACATTATCAATTTTTTTAATATCATTTTGAACACCAGCAAAAAAATTAACATCTGTATTTTTCTCATTTTCTGTTCTCGTGGAGAGTGAATGAGCATGTGATAGTGAATTACGTAAACCCATAATTATTTTTCTTGTATCTTTTGGTAACCATAATAGCAAAAGCTCACTTATTGTAGTATCAGATAACTTAGGGGATTCTAAAGTGTTTTTTAAATGCTCACCGATAACCTGTAAAACTCTTGTAATGATTAACTGTCCTTTCCTCTCTTTAGAATCAGCCGATAACGCTAACTTTATATAATTACTTATTTTCATTAAAGAATAAATATCCTTAATTTGTTGATAATCGTTATACAATTCTTCAAATTGAGGATCTTTGCTAATAATCTTTGCAACAACTTCCTCGCGTGTTAAGTTTGGAAGCTTATTAATGTTCACACTTTCTTTTTCATCTTTAAGTTTTTCTTCTTCAAGTTTTTTTTTTCATCTTTAAGTTTCTCTGCAACAACTTTCTCGCAATTTTTTTGACGTTTTTTTTTTGACGTTTTTTTGAGTGTTTTTTTGGCCGTTTTTTTTAAACGTTTTTTA